CGCGAAAAATTATAAAATGAAGTGAGTGAACTGATTGGATGATTTATAAACTTGTTTATACTAAACAGATATAGATATAAATATCGAGGAAAACTTTTGTAATCAATTCTTTTTTGTAAACTGACTCTTAACCTGAGGAGAGATTGTGATCTTGCTAATTTATGCAAATCTTTTAAAAACACAGAGAACATTATTTCTGAATTAATTAATAAAGATCAGGATTAATTAAACCATTAAAACTTTAAATACAAGATTAAAAATTTGTTTTTAATCAGAAGGTACGTTGGGAAATATGTTAGAATTAAAAAATCTACGTGAATAAAAAATGTTTCCAAAGATGTAAAAAATTAGTGAATTATACTGACGAATCGATTCTAAGAAAACCACACAAGTCTATAATAGAGTTTTTGGTTTTTGTTGTCTGATAATTTATTATTTATTCTATTCGATATTTAACACAAAATAGTCAAGCTAAATGTCAATTCAAAGATTTCTGGCAAAAGTTATTGATTTCTGGCCTCAAACTCTAATTTTCTAAACCTTTTATCTAGATCTGCAACATAATGACGTAGTCCGTTGATATTTCAAACTATGAATTTTTCCGTTGGATCAAATATTCAAAGTTTGAATTATAAAAATGTGTACCACCACCAGTTTGCAATGATAGTCAAACTAAAATATCAAATGTTTACACCAATAGGTTGCAAAGGTATAAGGATAAGGGATATAAGGGATAGGAAAATACCGAAGAAAACATAATTTGTTAGTTCTATTAAGTACACGACAAAGCAAAGAAACACGAAATTTTTTTAAATTGTATTCTACTCTTGAAGTTTCTGTTGTTCAACAGATATTTCCCCAGAACTTTGATAATTCCTTGGATATAACCGGATACACCTGGAGGGGGGGGGGGAGGCAGGGGGCCGGGCAGGGATAGGGTTAAAGGATTGACAAGGTTTTGTTGTGAGAGCAAGGGGGGCAGGAAGGGGGGGGGATAACATTTAGTTTCCTATTCAAAACATATTGTGTAAACTTCAATAGAGGTTTTAAATTACTAATAAACAAGTACCATCTTCATTTTAGATACAAGGATACAGGGATATAGCGGTACAGGGATACTGGGATACAGGAATATAGCGGTACAGGGATACAGCAATATAGCGGTACAGGGATACATACAGGGATACAGGGATATAGCGGTACAGGGATACAGGAATACAGAAATACAGGGATAAAGGGATACAGGGATGTAGCGGTACAGGGATACAGGGATACAGGAATATAGCGGTACAGGGATACAGCAATATAGCGGTACAGGGATACATACAGGGATACAGCAATATAGCGGTACAGGGATACATACAAGGATACAGGTATATAGGGATACAGGGATACAGGAATACAGGGATACAGGGATACAGGGATACAGGGATACAGGGATACAGGGATACAGGGATACAGGGATACAGGGATACAGGGATACAGGGATACAGGGATACAGGGATACAGGGATACAGGGATACAGGGATACAGGGTTACAGGGATACAGGAATACAGGAATACAGGAATATAGGGATACAGGGATGCAGGAATACAGGAATACAGGAATACAGGAATACAGGGATACAGGGATACAGGAATACAGGGATACAGGAATACAGGAATACAGGAATACAGGAATACAGGAATACAGGGATACACTAGTTATAAAAGACTATACACGAATGTAAATATCGGGTAATAGAACAAAAATTCAGGGATTCATGCAAGAGATGTTATAGTAACACTATCAAAAACTGGCCTAATTCGCAGAACACAACATCTTATCATTCTCATTTGTTGGATAACAGATTAGAGTTAATAAAAACCGATGTAAAATTGAACAGAAAGTGACAATATTTGGATATCGCCTATGTTGACCTTGATTTCCCATGAAGTAATTTATAAAGAAATATAACCGTAAATATTTAATGGTTTATTAGCACAAGACAGCTAGGGGGATTTGTTGGGTCATGGTCATTGGTCACAATGTGGGTAAGGTAAGGGAAGAAGAAGGGAGTACGGCTGAGGTATACAAAAATAAAGTGGAAATGGAGAAATGAAAGAGATGGAGATATCGCAGTTAGGATTGAGGAAGGAGAGTAGGGGGAGTAGCGTGAAATTTATTAAAGGGTGAAAAATTCACCAGGACGGAGGAGAAAGAGCCCCATTCTTCTGTGACAAGCCATGTACAGTGTTACGCCCATTCTTATCGATACTTGACACGCCCTAGTATTCAAACCTCAGCGAGTCAGCATTCTTCAAAATTAAATTAATCGCAAATCTTTTGAAAAGAATTGAATATGCCAGGTGTGTGCGGAATCAATGTGTCATCTTGTTGTATTGCCCGCGATGCACATATTATCTTAATTTTGATGGTTATTATATCGTTTGAACTGACGAGGGTCAACCCAGACCGAAATATATTTTCAATAAATGTGGAACTAACATCTACTTTTTTTACTCTACAGAGGTTTGGTCCATCACCATCACCGAATTTTAAATTATCTTAATTGTTGATTCTATCCGATGTTTCTGTAAAAATATTGATGCGGAGAACAGTTGATTCTAAATAACAGAAACAAATAAAAACTTTCTATTTTTTCTGGACTCACCTCTTTTTTATCGAACATTGCTCATTAAATGTTCAAGATTTGTTAACAATCCCTTTAAGTTAAGTAATTAAAAAGGGAAAAAAGTTAGAACGTTTAAAAACAAATCCTTAAACTGATATGGCCGAAAACATCCACCCTTCAACTAAAACTTCAGCTTACTTTTCGCAAGAAATGTTTTGACAAAAGTCGGCTAAAAAGAGTTTAAAGTTTGAAAACAACAGATCAGGAAACACATGAACACTAAAACACATGAACACTAAACACGTGAACACTAAACACCTGAACACTAAACCACATGAACACTAAACACGTGAACACTAAAACACATGAACACTAAACAAGTGAACACTAAAACACTAAACACATACACATATTGAACACTAAACACGTGAACACATGAACACTATACACATGAACACTTTACACGTGAACACTAAACACGTGAACACTAAAACACATTAACACTAAACACGTGAACACTAAACACGTGAACACTAAAACACATGAACACTAAAACACATGAACACAACACACGTGAACACTAAAACACATAAACAACACTAAAACACATGAACACTAAAACACATGAAAACGAAACACGTGAACACTAAAACACATGAACACTAAAACACATGAACACTAAAACACATGAACACTAAACACGTGAACACTAAACATGTGAACACTTAACACGTGAATACTAAACACGTAAACACTAAAACACATGAACACTAAAACACATGAATACTAAACACGTGAACACTAAAACACAAGAACACTAAAACACATGAATACTAAAACAAATGAACACTATACACGTAAACACTAAAACACATGAACACTAAATCATATGAACACTAAAACACATGAACACTAAACACGTGAACACTAAAATACATGAACACTAAAACACATAAAAACTAAAATACATGAACACTAAAACACATGAACACTAAACACATGAACACTAAACACGTGAACACTAAAACATATGAAAACTAAAACACATGAAAACTAAAACACATGAACACTAAAACACATGAACACTAAACACATGAACACTAAACACGTGAACACTAAACACAAGAACACTAAAACACATGAACCCTAAAACACATGAACACTAAACACATGAACACTAAACCCATGAACACTAAAACACATGAACACTAAACACATGAACACTAAAACACATGAACACTAAGATAGAAAATATCCAGTTCTTTGAGTCTTCCGAGATAGGAACTACTTTTGTGTGGATATAATTAATCTTTAACATTTAAAATTCGGTGATGGTGATGGACCAAACCTCTGTAGAGTAAAAAAGTAGATGTTAGTTCCACATTTAATGAAAATATATTTCGGTCTGGGTTGACCCTCGTCAGTTCTTGAGATTGTTTCTTCACAAAGATTAAAAACAAACACAAAAAAGTAGCTCGATATCCAATATGAGTAGTTTAAAATTGGAGGATCAATGCTTGATCCATAGATTAAAAGTATTCCTGCAGAGTATGACCATGACGGGATATCGGAGAGAATTTAAATTAATCCGAAGGTGGACACATGATGGATATCAATACTTGATCCCGTGATGCACAGCAGAGAAATTGCTACTTCTGTACACATATGATATGGGAAGCTCTGTACTATAGCTTTAACAGCAGAACCACAGACTACACAGACTGATTATCTTCTTTCACAGGGTGGGCTACGTAGGCCTATGTTGACCCGGCACGACTTGCTACGGTTTTTTGATAGGTTCTGAGAGTGCCATCTCACGGCTACATGTTGAACATAATACCCATTCGTTTTACAACTTTTAAAGAAATACTCCAATTTTGAACATGAAACATAACATTTATGAATTCAGTCTTTTTTTGAAGATTTTGTGTTTCGTATCCAAAGGATCCTTAAATATCCCTGAATACAGATGTTTGCTGATTGGTCGTGTACAGTACTTGTACACCATGGAACATGCTGTTAAAAATATCGCATATTTTAGCTGATAATCGATCTCTGTAAATCTCTTACCTCTGAGCAGAACTAATAACTAAACATTCATTGTCAAATTTTAAAAACCTGTCAAAACGGAAACATAAAAAAACATCATGGAATTGGACACACAAGCTGAATATAAATAGATAATTTTTCAAAAAAATGGCTTTATATGAAAAATTGATTCAAATCTTGAAAACAATTTTAAATTCACTTATAAAAAGACTTTTTCAAAAAAAGATCAACTACTAATTTTATGTATATGGTTTAAGGCAGTACCCCAATGTTTGATGAACAAGTGAAATAAAGTTTGAATAAGCTAAAAAGTTGTCGTAAAACATGTAAAAGTTTAATTGAACTAAGTTTAAATTATGATATCTCGTGATTTAGAATAAAATGGTTTGAAGTGCACAAATATTAACGGAATCAATATGATCAGACCTGGCTTTCTAGGCCTCATATTCTTCGGGTTTAGCTTTAGGTATTGCAGGGGTAATTATCTTACACCACCCCCCCCCCTTTCCTTTCTCCTCCTCTCCTCCCCCTTTTCTATCCATTTCCTTCCCCTTTACAACAATATGATGGTCTAATTATTTTTGATTATTATAATAATTAATAATTGAGTAGTTTACTCTATACAGCATCATTAGTATAAATCCCCTACATGTACACAGTACATAATCCCCTGACAAATAAACATGTGTATCTACACATCATCATTAAATATTAACTCCAACCCCCTCCCCCCCTACCTCCTAGTTTTGATTGAGAACTCAGCTTCCATCAATAACATCCAATAAACATGAGTTTCCAATTCCTAATTTTAAAATGATTCCTCTTTTAACCTTTTTCAAGTAACAACAACGACATTTTAGCAGTAATAGACAAGCAATGGATGAATCCTTTGACATTTTTTCTGTGAGAAAATGGTTTAGCAGGGTATACCTTTCATTTAATATTCATAATAGTCCCTAAAATTTCTTTTAAACCAACCTAAGAACAGTGAAGTTTCAACATTTTTCCTTTTGCGTCTAATAAACCAATAAATATATTTGAAACGGGGGGTAAAATGAAGCAACGGTTCCTGGCACTTTTTACCTTCTCTCTTATTAAAAAAAGTGGTTTCTGTATATTTGAATATTATCGTATATAGTTTGGTGACTGGATTGAAAACTGCAGGGATTGGAGAAAATGTAACATTTGAATGCACATCGGAGAATAAGTAAGTTTTTTAACAATCAAGAAGCATTCTTTTACTACATAATTCACGGTTTTTCATGTTTAATATAAAAAAATTAAAATTTTTGACACGACCTTGATATTCCATTTATTAAAATTATCTTGAAATTTCCATTAAAGAGATTTTCATTTTAATAATATTTTGAAAAAAATGCCTCATGAAAATAAAAATTAAATGAATTGTTTCTGAAAAAAGTCTCTAAAACTAACTTCGAGTGAATTTCTTAATAAAAAAAATATAGCAAAATATAACAAGGTCATATCAAAGTCTTAGTGTTTTGATGCTAATAGGAAAATATTTCACTTTCAATGTTTATTTTTCCAGATGGTTTTTTTGTTTGTGGCGAACACCAGATGGGGGTAAGGTGTGTGCTATTAATGAAACAGGATCTTATTCTACCGTTTGTTCAGGATCACAGGTATATATAGATTCATCATAAATCATTTAAAGCGATTGTTAAGTAGTTAGATAATAATTAAACATTATTTAAGTATGTATAATATTAAAATATTTAGATATCTTCTTTGTTTTATTTGAAGTATAAACCCTAGATTTCTAGCCATGGATTAACTATTTTGTTTAAATATTACTAATAATCAATACATGTCCTTTCAATAGAAATAGAAGGAGAGGGGGGGGGGGGGAATCATAAATAGTCCTTTATAATCATGGGAGTTCTAATTTTTATACTTTTATATTCTTTTATTTTTTCGGTTGTATCAATTTCCGAATTAAAATCCTACCCTACATACATTTTTACACAAGATAGGAAATTTTTATTTCTATTGTGAAATATTTGTAGCTTAATGTTAACTTAACATAATTTTCCCATGGGACAATTAAGTAAAATAGCATCCCAACTCTGTTAACTTTTGTAAAAAATTAATTGTAAATTATTCTCTTTTTCTTTGGTTTCCTCTTCCTTTACCTGAAAAACATGGATGATTTGTAAACTAAACTAAACCCTTATCAAACATTAAATAGTGTTTAAAATACAAAAATACTTTTTTTTAACTGAATAATTTATATTTTTTTCAGGGTATGTCGATTTCTGGAGACAGTACTTCGTGTCGACTGTCGATAAATAATTTGTCGACAGTACACACTGGTACCTTCATTTGTCTGTTAAACCAGGAAACTCAAGCTGATTTTTTATTTTATATCTAATTTTCTAATCTAAATAGTTTGTCCCTCACCTTCGATTTAAACACTCGGAAGGAATTTACGAAGCGAATTTCTTCTATTTTTAGATTATTTTGTCTGTTTTTGTCAAAGTCTTAAAGTTCCCCTATAAACCCCCTTCCCTCCCCTAGATCCATTAATTGGAAACAGAAACTGTTTTGAATAGTTTAGGGTTAACCCCTTATCTTTTACTTCAAGGGATTTCATCGCAGACGGACACACTCCCACGCTGCGTTTAGATTTTTTGTTAATTTACCACATTTTTACCACTATAGTTTTTTCTTAAAAATAAATTTTGACTTGAAAAAAATCTTTAAGACGAAAACAACTTGATTCTCTCACCACTTTCAATTCTGTATTTTCTCATATTTTCCACAGTCTGATTTTCTATTTTATGCCTTTCTTATTTTATTACTCCTTCTTTCTTTCTTCTCTAATTGGGCGGGTACAGAAGTTCATAAAACAATACAAAGTAGCCAGGAGAATGTAGCAGATCACATACCAAGGGGGAGTGAGATGAGGGCTGGAATTCTAAATTACCTGATAAGAATATTTTCAGTCTTTTATTAAGGGGCAGTGTATTTCATATTAGATTTTTCATTGCCCTCTTCCTACCACCTGTGTAATAATCCCTCTCCGATAATCCCTGGCCTCTTCCACTCCGTCCTAATCCACCACTTTTATAAACCCCCTACATCCTGATCCATCCCGTCTTCTCTTCTTTTCCCCTAAGATAATCTCGATATCCAAATAAAAACGTTTAATCGTTACGAAACACTTCAGATGATTTCTTCAGCTTTACAAAATAAAAAAATTCATTTGTAGAAAACGAAAGTCATAAAATGCTAAATGAGAAAACCCTTTTTCCTTAAAGGGACTTTAGGCGTAATCTCAAGTGTGACCCTTCATTTATAGACAGGAATGTCTGATTCTCATAAGCACCCTTAAAGGCTTTGCTGTCTGATCAAAAATGATTGAGATATCCATGGTTATTTCTTTTGGTGTTGATTATTTTCAATTGTGGTTTCTCTATAATAGTGAAAATAAAAATTGTGAGAATTGAACACTTTTCAAAGTAGAGAAACAACGATTCCTTCCATATAATTAATCAGATAAAGGAATAAAGGCAACCCTTGTCAAATGATTATAAGTCATGATCTCCCTCTGCAGGATAACTTTAGCATACTATAACAGTCTCTTAAATAAGAGTCTTTATATTATTTGTAAAATATGAAGATGCAGATTATTTTTATTGAAAAAAAAACTTACTAAACATCTTTTTCTCTTTGTATTCCCGACACCCCAACTCTCAATAAAATAGTTGTTATTGCTAACAACTATTTTGCCCCAAATAATATCGTAAATTCGGGTTTAATTTCTTTTAAACCATGGTGTTAACCTTGGGTTGAGTTTAGGCTGAGACGTTTGTAACGAGCAGAGCAAGTTTTGACCTGCTGGTGGCCCAGCCCGCCAACCTGTACATTGGAGTACATAATCAGCTGTACACAAACCTGTCATCGATAGGTCGGTTAAGTTTATTAATTGATTAATTGCTAAAAATTATAATAATTATTGATTAAACTCAAAATAATATTGATAATAATAATTATAATTAAATACGTTTAACCCAATTTAATGTCCAAGATCGTTGAGAACATTGGATTTTTCCTTTATTTTTTAATACATCCAGTCCAAATCGTACAGTACTTGTACACCATGGAACATGCTGTTAAAAATATCGCATATTTTAGCTGATAATCGATCTCTGTAAATCTCTTACCTCTGAGCAGAACTGAGGTGAGTATTAAGGTAAGTAAAGGGGTAGGGAGATTATTTAAGTAAATGAAAGACAGGTGTTAATAAGAGGTAAAAAGGGGGTGCAGGGGTTGTTCAAAGATTGGGAGGGGTCTTCTTCTCCTTGGTACCCTAGGCGAATAAAGGCCATTACTTTGAAAATGGTTTTAGAAAACAAGGAAAAGGGTTCCTTGAAAAATTTGTCGTTGAAAAAAGATTAGTGTGGAAAAGAGCATGCTGCAACAATACGAGGTTGTTTGTTTGTGTGTTGTGACTTATGTTCATATGAATAAACGCGAAGAGGGGGGGGGATTATACTTAAGAAGAGGTAAGTAGGAAAAGGTTAAAAATCATTAAATTAAACATCTCCAAATATTTTAGATCAATTCAAGGGGAAACTTTTAGCAGGGCGTGACGATTCTGAAATTCTTAGTAGTTTATAGACCCTTGACAGTCATTTCAGCCAACATATAATCTTGTAGTTAAACCCTTGACAGTCATTTCAGCCAACATATAATCTTGTAGTTAAACCCTTGACAGTCATTTCAGCCAACATATAATCTTGTAGTTAAACCCTTGACAGTCATTTCAGCCAAAATATAATCTTGTAGTTAAACCCTTGACAGTCATTTCAGCCAACATGTAATCTTGTAGTTAAACCCTTGACAGTTAGCTAACATTCATTTCAGCCAACACATAATCTAGTAGTTAAACCCTTGACAGTTAGCTAACATTCATTTCAGCCAGCATATAATCTTGTAGTTAAACCCTTGACAGTTAGCTAACATTCATTTCAGCCAACATATAATCTTGTAGTTAAACCCTTGACAGTTAGCTAACATTCATTCTTTACATGGCAAAACTCAGGAAATTTCCAATCTGTCTGTCAGCTGTTTGTGTGTCTGTTCGTGTGTCCGTCTGCCTGTCTAACTATTTGTCTGTCTGTCTATTAATTTATATATGTATCTTTATATATCAATCTCTATCTATCTATCTATCTATCTATCTATCTATCTATCTATCTATCTATCTATCTATCTATCTATCTATCTATCTATCTAGATAGATACATAGATAGATATATTATTTATAATCTATCTATCTATCTATCTATCTATCTATCTATCTATCTATCTATCTATCTATCTATCTATCTATCTATCTATCTATCTATCTATCTATCTATCTATCTATCTATCTATCTATCTATCTATCTATCTATCTATCTATCTATCTATCTATCTATCTATCTATCTATCTATCTATCTATCTATCTATCTATCTATCTATCTATCTATCTATCTATCTATCTATCTATCTATCTATCTATCTATCTATCTATCTATCTATCTATCTATCTATCTATCTATCTATCTATCTATCTATCTATCTATCTATCTATCTATCTATCTATCTATCTATCTATCTATCTATCTATCTATCTATCTATCTATCTATCTATCTATCTATCTATCTATCTATCTATCTATCTATCTATCTATCTATCTATCTATCTATCTATCTATCTATCTATCTATCTATCTATCTATCTATCTATCTATCTATCTATCTATCTATCTATCTATCTATCTATCTATCTATCTATCTATCTATCTATCTATCTATCTATCTATCTATCTATCTATCTATCTATCTATCTATCTATCTATCTATCTATCTATCTATCTATCTATCTATCTATCTATCTATCTATCTATCTATCTATCTATCTATCTATCTATCTATCTATCTATCTATCTATCTATCTATCTATCTATCTATCTATCTATCTATCTATCTATCTATCTATCTATCTATCTATCTATCTATCTATCTATCTATCTATCTATCTATCTATCTATCTATCTATCTATCTATCTATCTATCTATCTATCTATCTNCGAGCCGCAACTGACGCTACAAAAAAAAAGATTTTAGACGGCGCTTCCAAGCCTCTCACCTTTACATAAAACCTATTTTTTCTTCAAAATTTGACTCTGGTTTTGGCATGAAAAACTAATACATAGATATATTTTATAAAATTAAATAAAATTAAATGTATAAAAACTAAAAATATTTTTGTTTAACAAATCTATGTCTATTTGTGTATTATATTGACTCAGGTTGATTTGGTCTACTACTTTTTACACTGAAATCCTTGTTTTCCAGAACAATTAATTATTTAGTCACGAGTTTTCAAACTCACTTTTTACATATAGCATAAAGGAAAGAATAAAAAAGGTTAAATTACAGGAAAAATTTTAAATTGTAGAAAAAAAAGAAAATAAAACGTAAAAAATGTCACAAAATAAAAAGACAAAGATAAATTTTTGATTATCCCGAAATAATTTTAGAATACTATAATGTTTGCTCTGTGCAGTGTACAGTGTACAATGCACAATTCTCCTTCTTCCTCTAAGGAATTATATCTTTTCATCTCAAACATTCATTCAGTTTCAGTTTAGTTTCAGTGAAGTTTAAGTTTAGTTTCAGTTTAGTTTCAGTTTAGTTTCAGTTTAGTTTTAGTTTAGTTTCAGTTTAGTTTCAGTTTAGTTGCAGTTTACTTTCAGTTTAGTTTCAGTTTAATAAGTACCTCTAGTTTACCGTATGTTGCTTTAGGTCGAGTACCTCTAGTTTACCGTATGTTGCTTTAGGTCGAGTACCTCTAGTTTACCGTATGTTGCTTTAGGTCGAGTACCTCTAGTTTACCGTGTGTTAGTTTATTTCGAGACCTTTTGTCTAAAATAACTCTCTCAAATACAGTTCTTCCAGCAAACTATGCAAAACCCGGCCGACACCAGTTCAAACTATTCAAAGGGACTGTAAGCGAAATTTCAACTGACCTTCCATGCATGTCCGATTTACAACGGTATCCTGAAGAGCTTTGTATGATGAAGTATTAATCAGATTTAGTATTCAAACAGTTTATTTTCATTTCTGGTTTCTCTGCAAAAGTGACTTATACGAAACAATGGAGGAATTATCTTAAAAAATCATTTTTCAAGTCAGAAAAACGACGTTTTTTCCACACTTTTGTTCGGGTTAGTTTTTCAAACCTAGTTCTGTGCATGGAGGCCGGAGGGTCACTTATTTAATTTAACTATAGAAAAAAATTACTCTATCGTGTTATGTATATCACTATAGTTTCAGTAGAAGTAAATATTTCCATTTACTGTTAGCGCCGATTTAAAGATTTATCTCTAATTGGATAATGAGCAAGATAGAAAGATAGATGTAACCGCCATGCAATTTCTATTGGTTCAGAATAGACACCAAACATATTGCTGAACCCTGATTGGATCAGGCGCTAATGGACTTGGCATACAAGAGTGATATTTAAGTTTTCCATTTAGAACATTAAAATTACCACTGTTGTCTTCTCTGTGAAAACTGTGATTTCCTTGTTGAAGCTAGACCTAAATATAACAGAGGTTTTCTTATAAGATTTAACAAGGCATATCTAGAGTCAAGCATACCTTAGTAAATAGTTGTACTAAATATGCTTAATAAACTATTCACATTTTTCATGTCAAAAAGTTCATGCAGTCTTTAACGGGGTGACATGAAATTCGAATTATACTTTTCCGAGTTAAGTTAGATAAAGATAGATTTGTGTAAAATATAGCTCTGAAGATGATAATAATATTTGTATATTCCATGTACACTGTACAGATGTAGTTGAGGGTGAGAGTATAGATGTACAGTGTACAGCTAAGGATGGTGTACCCTCTGCAGCAGTGTACTGGCAGTACCCGGGAGAGAAATTAAAGGTACATACATGTTTCAACAATTAAAAACTAATTTTTCTTGATTTTACTTCTCTATCTACCTATCTATCTATCTACGATATTAAGAGCAGGAAATGTAAATTGTGTCAGGGGGATTTTTCTTTTTATGGCTTCCCCAGGGGATTGTGGAAAAGTTCTGATGTTCAAGAATTCCCCTTTCCCTCTTCTCTCCCTAGTTTCCCCTTTCAACATGATCCTACCAATTCTCTGTCTTTACGCCCTTCCCCCCTCCACCCTCCCTGTTTCCCCCTTCCACCCTTCTCCCCCCCCCACCTCCACTCAATTTCATTTACTACTGCTCCAATCTCCCCCATTACATTTACCATTCAACCTTCTTAACTTCTCCTTCAATTCAGACTTCTTTACTTCTCCTTCTTAACTTTCCTTCAAGCAGAACTTCTTACTTTCACCTTCTTAACTTCTCCTCCAATTCAGACTTCTTAAGTTCCACCTTCTTAACTTCTTCTTTAATTCACACTTCTATACTTCTCCTCCAATTCACACTTCTTTAATTTTCCTCCAATTCACACTTCTTTACTTCTCCTCCAATTCTCACTTATTAACTTCTCCTTCAATTTTCACTTCTTAACTTCCAACCTCTAAACTTTCCTTCAAACAGAACTACTTTTTTCGACCTTCTTAACTTCTCCTCAAAATCACACTTCTTAATATCTCCTTCAATTCACACTTTTTAACATTCCCCTTTTTAACTTCTCGTTCTATTCACACTTCTTGATTTCTCCTTCAAGTTGCACTTCTTAACTTCCACCTTCTTAACTTCTCCTTCAATTCACACTTCTTAACTTCCGCCTTCTTAACTTTCCTTCAAGCAGAACTTCTTACTTTCACCATCTTAACTTCTCCTCCAATTCACACTTCTTTACTTCTCCTTCAATTCACACTTCTTAACGTCTCCTCTAATTCACACTTCTTAACTTCTTCAATTCACACTTCTTAGCCTCCCACTTCTTTACTTCAACTTTAAGCCACACCTTTTAACTTTCACTGGCTTAACATTCCTTCCAGCAGAACTTATTACTTCCTCCTTCATTACTCTTCCTTCATGTCACACTTCTTAACTTTAACCTTCTTTACTTGTTTCATCGAGCAACACTATTTAACTTCTTAACTTGGTCAAAATCTAAATTATAAAACATATTGTTCTTTCTTAAATTTTTACATTTGTTTATTATTTTTTCTACCCTCTCTAAATCTTATGAATTTATTTGCCCCCATATTCCCCCCCCCCCTCCCTCTCTATTGATAAAACATATAAAACATATTCCCTGACGCAATATTTTGTACAGTTAGCTTCAGCATACAGTATACTGCCAATACAGGGGGTTTTCGTAAAGTATGCGACTTTAAAGACGACCTAAAATATAAACAAACTACGATTTGAAAAGAAGAAAAATTAATTTTGCATTGCAACTGTCTGCACCTTGCATATTCCGAGCTGTATAGTACAGATTATATATTTCTTTAATCAAACCAATCTGCAGTCTAATTGCTAAACTTAACTATTTCTCGGTGGAATGAAAAGTGTAAATATTAGAACGCTGAACATTTAAATGCATTGCCTTTTCATTTTTTAATCATTTCATGCATTTTTTGAGAAAAAAACTAAACTTTACCAGAACTTCCTGATGCGATATTTTTCTAAAGAAAAACTAAACTACACTTTGCTTGTCAGATCTCAACAAATACAGCACTATGGGGGGGGAGTCGTATCCAAATGGATCCCGAGCCGCAACTGACGCTACAAAAAAAAAGATTTTAGACGGCGCTTCCAAGCCTCTCACCTTTACATAAAACCTATTTTTTCTTCAAAATTTGACTCTGGTTTTGGCATGAAAAACTAATACATAGATATATTTTATAAAATTAAATAAAATTAAATGTATAAAAACTAAAAATATTTTTGTTTAACAAATCTATGTCTATTTGTGTATTATATTGACTCAGGTTGAATGTTCCTTGGGACAATTATGTAAAATAACCACCCGTTCTGCGAAGTTTTCGGGAAAAATTCTCGAATTTTCATCTCAAAAGACGATGAAATTTTTCGGGAAATTATAATTTTTCTTAAAGACGGGTTTCCTTGACCAACTTTGCCTAAAAAATATCCCTCGCTTCGCTCTGCATGTTTTATAAACAAAATTGGTGTTGGGAACCCTTGGTGAAGTAAAATTCCCTTAACTTTCCCTGTAAAGTAGTTGTAAATAATCATTATGATTCTGGAAAATAGAAAACGTTTAGAAATACCTTTAAATACGTTTAACCCAATTTAATGTCCAAGATCGTTGAGAACATTGGATTTTTCCTTTATTTTTTAATACATCCAGTCCAAATCCTGATGAAAAAATATCCAGTCCAAATCCTGATAAAAAAGAACATCCAGTCCAAATCCTGATGAAAAACATCCAGTCCAAATCATGATGAAAAAACATCCTGTCCAAATCATGATAAAAAAACATCCAGTCCAAATCCTGATGAAAAAACATCCAGTCCAAATCCTAATGAAAAAAATTATATATGTAAGCTTTATAATTGGTTTCCTAAGTTTTCAAGAATTTTATTGAACTTATATTGAAAATATAATTGTTCTTTGTTTCACAAATATTAATTATTGCAATAACATTTCTATCTATCTATCTATCTATCTATCTATCTATCTATCTATCTATCTATCTATCTATCTATCTATCTATCTATCTATCTATCTATCTATATATATATCTATCTATCTATCTATCTATCTATCTATCTATCTATCTGTCTGTCTATCTATCTATCTATCTATCTATCTATCTATCTCTGGTATTTAAGCGAGCAAAAAAATGGCAGACCACATTTTTGAAATTGCAGGATTTGGGCTATTCTATTCTATTCTATTATTATTGTTTTCTAAAAAATTATTGCTAAAATCAGCTGTTACCAATGTTGAATGCCGCAATCCATTTCTAAGGTCAAAGACGACTTTAAAGTTTCAATAAATTAACATTAATCATTATTCCGGGTTATTTGGACTATCACTGTATCTATCAAGGCGCGCAATTAGACATTTGGTTAAGGGGGGGGGGCTAGGATGAAATATTTCGCACGAAGCGCGAAAATTTTTTTGCCCCCCTAAACATTTTTAGGGGGGGGGGCAAGAAAAATGTGTGTTATACTTAAACAATAATAAACTAACCGTACCAACCGGATATTCAGTAAGTCAACACATCTGATAAGAAATAAAAAAAGAAATCTATTCTTGTATAAATCACAAAAATAATTAATTTACAAATTACATACATATATATAAATTTTCATTAGAATTAACCATAAATAAAATATGTACATTGTACTCAAAAACTGACAAGAAATGCCTTTCATTAAAAATTCATGATTTTACATGAAAAATATTTTTTTTAATATGACACATCACACAATATTTGCGGTGAACATGTAGGATTAATTTAATAGTTGTACTACAGTATTAAAGCAATATCATAAAAAGTGCAGAACTGAGTGAAAATATCTAAAAAATACTTAATAATCCCCCTTTCCCTTTCCCAGGAAAAAACAGCATAATGAAAAAAATAAAGATTAAGGCACCTTGGAACCTTGTCAACCTGTTCTGATCTACGGCAGTAGTTAGGCTCGGAGACGAAGGGGGTCTGTGTGTGTGTATATGGTGTATTTTGTGCTATATCGATTGCAACTAAGCTCAATAAACTAACGTTCAATTATCTTTTTTTTTATTTTACGATAAGAGCTCTTAAATTTGCTCAGGATCAGGATTCATGAATCGCTAAATTGCAAAACACGGTGGACTTCGTCACTTCTTGCCCCCTACAGGGGGGAAAGACTTCTTAAGGGAGGTGCATACCCCCCCTTAATCAGGCTAGGGGGGCCTGGCCCCCTGCCCACCCCTAGTTGCGCGCCTGTATCTATCTATCTATCTATATTGATCTATCTGTCTATTTATTTGTCCATCTTTATCTATCTATCTATTTATTGATCTATCTATGTATGTATCTATATATATATCTATATTGATCTATCTATCTATTTATCTGTCTATCTATATGTATCTATCTGTTCAGGAAGTAGGGAGCGGAAGTCCAAGTTCAACTCTCAGGTAACAATTAGAAACTATTTAGTTATCATTCATCTATGCATTCATCCTCTCATCCCCTTTTCCTATATTCTTCCTTTTATCCTATATTCATTCTTTCATCCTATATTCATCCTTTCATCCAATATTCATCCTCTCATCCTATATTAATCCTCTCATCCAATATTCATCCTCTCATCCTCCTGTAAGGAAATACCCTGTGGTTTCTGAATAATTAACTAATTAGCATCTGTAGGGTTTACTTTACCTGGCTATAACAATATATATATTTATATATTTATAGATACATCATTATTCTACACAATCTTAAAGATAGTATCTTTATTATTTCAAGTGACCGATTCACAACAGTGTCCTTTAAACCTTTATCTGATCGATACTGTGGAAGATATCGTCGTTTTCTTTATTTTAAAAGTGTTTAATTTTAATGATTGTCTCCCATGTTTCTGTAGTTGAAATCCGCAAGTCACTTTTTAGAAAAAATGATTTTAAAACATAGGTATTGTTTTCCTTCTTGATCAAAGCTTTTAAGGGTACCGTTGTGAATCGTAAATGCCACTCAGTAAATTGATGGTTACTTAAGCTTAGTGTCCCTATATTTGTTCTGTATTTCAGGTATTCAGGACGAGTAGAGGATGATGGTGAAATTCTAGTCTGCTCAGCTGGTCAGCTTGATGATTCAAACCTACCTCTATACTCAACACAGATCAATACAATCATCCGTATCATTCAACCCTCACCCCTTTCATCCTCAGTTGCTAGCAGCATCAACATCATCATCCTCATCATCTCCATCATCATCGTTCTCATCTTCATCATTGTCTTTGTCATCATATTCGCCGTTGTAAAGCAGAAGAAGAAGAAGGGTGAGCGGAGATCAATCGATCAATCAACTTGGACCAGTAATACTCCTAGCCGCTGCGCTGTACATCCTTTACATTCAGCTCAATGTGAAGATAAATACAAGGTTAGAATCTTAATAATAATCTGGATATTTGAATAATAATCTGGATATTTGAATAATAATTTGGATATTTGAATGCTTCCTTAAACAACTAAGGAATAAATAGTTGTTAAAATGCATAATTAAATAGAATTTTTAAGGTTTGTAGTGCTGAGATACATTCTAGTTCATCCTCAAACTCATCTGCAGATACTTCCACAGATACAAATACTAGCTTGGATACAGGTATACAGATACAAATAATAGCTTGGATACAGGTATACAGATACAAATAATAGCTTGGATACAGGTATACAGATACAATTACTAACTAGGATACAGGTATACAATACACTAATATTATAGATTGGATACAGGTATACAGATACAAATTCTAGCTAGGATATAGGTATATAATACACTAATATTAGCTTGGATATAGGTATAGCGATTCAAATACCAGCTAGGATACAGATATACAATACACTAATATTATAGATTGGATACTGGTATACAGATACAAATACTAGCTTGTGCACAGGTATACAGATACAAATACTAGCTTGTGCACAGGTATACAGATACTAATACTAGCTTAGATACACGTATACAGATACTAATGCTACAGGGTGTCCCAATAAACATGGGAATTCAGTGACGAATTTGATATCGTCTTTGTTATGAATTAGCATTATAATACCTAATTTCAAAAGCCATAATATTATTATGTCTGCTAGAGTTTAATTTATAAAAACGTAAATTGCACTGTTTTTATACTCCAATTTTCTTGTTTTACTAAGTACAACCGTATGCAGTCAAAACATAAACAAACAAAATGTGAACATAGCAGACGAAACTCTTACTGATTACAGCTTTCTCAGTAGGTATCACTATACTAAATCAAAGAATTATTTGAAAAGACAGTATCGAATTCGTCACTGAATTCCCATGTTTATTGGGACACCCTGTAGATAGGATACAAGTATGCAAATACAAATATTAGCTTGAATATAGGTATACAGATACAAATACTAGCTAGGTTACAGGTATACAGATACTAATACTAGATAGGATACGGGTATGCAGATAGCTTCGATACAGGTACACAGATACAAATAATAGCTACAGTGATAACCAGAAACAATGGTATAGAAAGACGACATTACAGCAATACTTAAGGTATTAAATGTTGTTTCACTGCAGGATACAGGTATACGGATACAACTACTAGCTTCAATACAGGTACTAATATTAGATTGGATACAGGTATACATATACTAATACTAGATAGGATACAAGTAAACAGATACAAATACTAGCTTGGATACAGGTATACAGATACAAATACTAGCTTGGATACAGGTATACAGATACTAATACTAGCTTGGATATAGGTATACAGATACTAATACTAGCTTGGATACAGGTATACAGACACAAATACTAGCTTGGATACAGGTATACAGACACAAATACTAGCTTGGATACAGGTATACATATACTAATACTAGCTTGGATATAGGTATACAGATACTAATAGTATCTTGGATATAGGTATACAGATACTAATACTTGGATACAGGTATACAGATACAAATATTAGCTTCAATACAGGTATATAGATACAAATATTAGCTTCAATACAGGTATACAGATACAGATGTTAGCTTCAATATAGATATACAGATACAAATATTAGCTTCAATACAGGTATACAGATCCAGGTATACAGATACAGTCATTTGTAATTACAACATAGCTATTAATCTTTATCTAGATAACTGTATATATATATTTTTCTAGAAAAGTCTATTGGTGAAGTTGAAGACAATGTTTCCTTTAGTCCAACATTTAAGTATACAGGTAGACCCTTATGCACATTAAGTACTTTATTACCATAATAAAGTGTTATCAATGTTAATTCTGTTAATGCACATCATTTTCGGATTTATCTTTGATCATATCCTATTCCGGCTGTAGAGTTTATGAGTAAAAAGATTGAAAGCCTAAGAAGGAGCGTTCCCAAAACTAAAAAGATTGTTTTAAAACAATTTTTAGATCATTTAGACTCACTTGCTTACGCATATGTACATTGCACGGTTTCTTATAAAAATAAGAAGATTTTTGTTCGTAGGTTATCAGAGCTTTAACAAGTACGACAATGTAGTCGAGAGCTCAGAGATCAATGGGAGTACAAAGGAAGAATTTAAACCAAAGGTAGGGATCAAGGGTACAAAGGAAGAATATAAAACAAAGGTATAAATCAAGGGGAGTGCAAAGGAAGAATATAAACCAAAGGTATGGATCAAGGGAAGTACAAAAGGAAGAATATAAACCAAAGGTGTGAATCAAGGGGAGTACAAAGGCAGAATATAAACCAAAGATATGGATCAAGGGAAGTACAAAGGAAGAATATAAAACAAAGGTAGGAATCAAGGGGAGTACAAAGGAAGAATATAAAATAAAGGTGTGAATCAAGGGGAGTACAAAGGAAGAATTTAAACCAAAGGTAGGGATCAAGGGGATAACAAAGGAAGAATATAAACCAAAGGTAGGGATCAAGGGGAGTACAAAGGAAGAATATAAACCAAAGGTAGGGATCAAGGGGAGTACAAAGGAAGAAAATAAACCAAAGGTAGGGATCAAGGGGAGTACAAAGATATAAACCAAAAGTATGGATCAAGGGGAGTACAAAGGAATAATATAAACCAAAGGTATAGATCAAGGGGAGTACAAAGGAAGAATATAAACCAATGGTATTGATCAAGGGATAATGGATAATTTGTTTTCATTTGATTTATATCATTATATTTCTTCAAAGAAAGTTTTAGTTTTTTTAAATCTAAATTATTTTAGAGACTAGGTCACTTTGATCCTTCTGTAAATGTTCACGATGTTACAAGACCCAATACGGGAAACAGCAGTTTATATACTGCAGGGAGCCGGAGGAACAGCAGTAAAGAGATAAACAGGAGATTGAAGAGAAATAGCTTAGAAACAGCTGAAGAAACAGCAGAGAACCTAGAACAGATATTAGGGGTCGCTAGGATACATCTAGGTGAACATAAACATAAACATAAACATAAACATAAACATAAACATAAACATAAACATAAACATAAACATAAACATAAACATAAGCATAAACATAAACATAAACATAAACATAAACATAAACATAAACATAAACATAAACATAAACATAAACATAAACATAAACATAAACATAAACATAAACATGAACATAAACATAAACATAAACATAAACATAAATATAAACATTAACATAAACAAGAAAATAAACATAACCATAAAAATAATCATGAATTAAAGATGAACATGAACATGAACATAAACAGATAAACCTGATATATGCATATATATATATTATCAGGGTGTCGAGGGCGTGTCTACCCCGCCCAGCAAGTCACTAATAAACCAGTCCTCCAACCTATAAATCCCTCCAACCTACCTCCGATAGATATTGAAGATGGTAGAGCTACAGCTAGTGTGTTCGACTGTCAATTAGGTTAGTTTATAGAACATCAACAGCAAAAAACTGAAAAAAATGGTATCAAGGAACAATTACCAACTAACCTGAAAACTTCTAAGCAACCATCTATTTAAGCATGAACGCAAAAAAAAACTTGTAATATTGCTCAGACATAAACATAAACACATACATGCACACATACACAAACATGACAAGACCATAAACATTAACAAGATCACGTAAATGAACCAGATCATGTAAATGAACCAGGTCATGAGCATGAACAAGATCATGAGCATGAACAAGATCATGTAAATGATCAAGATCATGTAAATGATCAAGATCATGTAAATGATCAAGGTCATGTAAATAATCAAGATCATGTAAATGATCAAGATCATGTAAATGATCAAGATCATGTAAATGATCAAGATCATGTAAATGATCAAGATCATGTAAATGATCAAGGTCATGTAAATAATCAAGATCATGTAAATGATCAAGACCATGAAAATGATCAAGATCATGAAAATGATCAAGATCATGAAAATGATCAAGATCATGTAAATGAACAAGATCATGAACATGACCAAGATCATATAAATGAACAAGATCATGGGGTCCGACTCCGTCCTAGTATACGCTATTTGGAGCCCCCTTCCCCCCCCCTTCCTATCAATTTTGTAAATGACCACTTATTTTTCTGCAAAATTATTATTCTTTTATTTTTTTTATAATTTTAGGGTTAGGTTAGGTTAAGACAATTTCTGGGCCGAGCACTGCGGCTAGGACAGGCTAGGGGGGGGGCCGAGCGCTGCGGCTATATCCATGTACAAAATTGATAGGAGGGGGGGAGGGGGGTCCAAAAATCGTTCTCTAGAAAATTTCCATGAACATGAACAAGATAAAAAACCATAAATAAGATCGTGAACATAAACAAGATCATGAACATGAACAAGATCATGAACATGAACAAGATCATGAACATGAACAAGATCATGAACATGAACAAGATCATGATTATGAACAAGATCATGAACATGAACAAGATCATGAACATGAACAAGATTGTGTAATTGAACAAGATCAGGAGCATGAATAAGATCATGTAAATTAACAAGAGCTTGATCATGAACAAGATCATGAACATGAACATGAACATGAACATGAACATGAACATGACCATGAACATGAAGAAGAACATGAACATGAAGAAGAACATGAACATGAACAATATCATGAACATGAACATACGCAAGATCATGAAAACTAATATGAACAAGATCATAAACATTAACATGAACATGAACATTAACATGAACATGAACATGAACATGAACATTAACATGAACATGAACATGAACAAGATCATGAACATGAACAAGATCATGAGCATGAGCAAGATCGTGAGCATGAACAAGATCATGAACATGAACATGAACATGAACATGAACATGAACATGAACATGAACATGAACATGAACATGAACATGAACATGAACATGAACATGAACATGAACATGAAAATGAACAAGATCATGAACATGAACATGAACATAAACAAGATCATGAACATGAACATGAACATATTGCAGGATGCTTCTCCCCTGATCATCAGCATACCGAATCAAAGAACTGCGGATAAAGTAAAGGTATATTTGCTCTTTTTAAAAATAAACAAAAATACTGATATTTGAGTATCCCAAACAGAAGAGATCCGTTTAATTTTTAAGAATACCACAGGTTTTTACCGTTTTTTACATGCTTCTTAAACTTTAAAATTCATTAGCTCAAAAAAATATATAAGTTAAGTTCCATGACAGATACTTAAGTTTTCTATTTTACAGATCAAAGCTTTACTTAAAAACCATTATAAAGCTTTTCATGTTTCAACACAAAGCGATAACTAAAATTTTCTGTTAGTTTTGATCAAATTATTTTGCGTTTACATTAAAGAAGTAATTAATCTGAATTCAATTTTTTCAGGTTTTGGTTTGTAAAATTTAACTCAATCAAAAGTAGAGTCTGGAGATGAACCTAGGATAAACCAAATTATTATTTTCAAAACTGTGTTGACAAAATTTTAAATGCCAAAAATATTGTTATCAGTATAATCTGCCATCTTTTATTAAAATATATTGTTAAGCTGTATGTGTTATTTAGCTATTTTATATAGAAAATCGAACTAAAAAGTTAAAATATATGATTTAAATAAAGTTTTTACTCGTGAGTCATGATATTGATTTTTTATTTAATACTTTTCTACAAATATAAGATATTTTAAGTGCACACGACCCCGTATTACGCTTAGTTTTAAAATTAAGATATTTGATTAGAAAATATATTCCTAGATTCCAGTATTATGTATTACATCTACATAAAAGTCAGTTAAAATTTTGTTATGTTAATTTTCCTGTTTTTATTTCTCATTTTTTGTACTAATATGTATTTTATATTTTCTTTTTTACCCTTTTTTGTTTTCTGTTGGAGTCTGAGTTAACCATATAAAGGCTGGGGGTCTGACTCCACGTATTTGACACCCTACCTTCCCTCCCTTCCAGTCATCCTATAGTCCTAACCCCACAATCTTAACCCGGCCCACCTTCCTCTCTCCTGGGCTCTCATCACCTCGGTCACCTCCCACTCATATTTCTATTGTAAAATTGTCAACTCTTACATCTTACAACCCCCCCACCCCCTCTCCTGATCTTTAAGATTTTATCAATTAATTATTCTGAAATTTTTGAGAATATCATAAAATTGAGAATATAAACCAAATAGATTTAAAGCAAAGCAAACAGGCCCGTAACTGGGTGTTTATGTAGGGGGGTTAAAAGGGGGCAGAGCCCCTCTGATTAGAAGTTTTTACCTTTTCATTACTTAATTTCATATCATTGAACTGTCATCAACATTCAACACAGCATTTTAAATGAACAATAATATCTGGAAACAAAAATAAAACAGGGCAGATATTGTTAAATAAATGAATAAATGAAATACAGTGAAAACCAGAAAACTATGGAATAGGAAGTTTGTAGCAAAAAGTGTGTAAACGTGCAGTACGTTGTACATTACAAATGATTTGATGTTCTAAACTCAGACATAATGACATTATTCATTGAATACTTAACAAAATAAGCTTAAATCATGCGACATACTTAAATAACGCTGTAAAATATGGCCAAAGATAGATTAACTGCGTTATATCTATTCTCTTTAATCCTTTAAATATCTACCTCAAACTTTAACTTTGGTTAAATACGTAATACGATGGTTTTAATCATGTGAAATCAATAACATTGTAGGAATCGAATTACGCCAATTCCTGTTAACTTTGTAACCTAAGCTGTTGAATAAAGTTAGTTGATTGAGCTTCTGCTTTTGATTACGTTATCAGAAGCCTAATTGTAAGCTTGGAAGACAGCTTTGGTTCTCGTTGAAACATACAAGTGGAGACCTTTGCTAGTTGATTTACCATTGAATCGAATATAGCTTAAAATATAGCTTGGGTCCTCGTTGAATTATACAAGTTGAGATATGGTTGAGAGTTATTCTTATACTGTTGGATGCTTGCGTCCCTGTGTGACATTAAAGCCGGTCCTGGTTAAGTATAGAGAATAAGCTTGAGTCCTATCTTATTGGATGCTTGTGTCCCTGTGTGACATTAGAGCCAGTCCTGATTGAATATTGAGTCTGAGATTTGAACTGTGTGTCTTTTAGAACCGAGAAGTTAAGCCAGGTTGAAAAACTGCCTGTGTTGTGTAGCAAATTCAATTGCCTGTGTGACTTTCAGAACTAGGGAGTAAAGCCTTGTTGAGATTTTGGACTGTTTGTCCTTTAGAACCGGAGAGTTAAGCCTGGTTGAGATATTGCCTGTGTGGCATTTAGAATCGGAGAGTTAGTCTTTAATCTTGGTAACGAGTAAGACCTGGATAGATACGTCTCGAGTAAAATTGTTATGGAGTAGGTATTTGACTTTTAGACTCAAGTAAATAGTCTACACTGCTGAAAATGGACCATCAGGTTTCGAGTCAAAACACCTAAACTTTTTCTTTGGAATATATAAATATGCAGTCTACTGAAATATAATCTTATAATTTTCTTATTGCATCTCACTGTATCTCACTTCACTGTATCTCATTGTATCTTACTGTATCTCACTGTATCTCACTGTATCTAACTGTATCTTAGTGTATCTCAATGTATCTCACTGTATCTCACTTTATCTTACTGTATCTCACTGTATCTCTCAGTATCTCACTGTATCTCACTGTATCTAACTGTATCTTACTGTATCTCAATGTATCTCACTGTATCTCACAGTATATCCCTGTATCTTACTGTATCTTACTGTATATTACTGTATCTCACTGTATCTCGTATCTTTCTGTATCTCACTTTATATCTCAGTATCTCACTGTATCTCACTGTATCTAACTGTATCTTACTATATATCAATGTATCTCACTGTATCTCACTTTATCTTACTGTATCTCAATGTATCTCAGTGTATCTTACTGCATCTCAATGTATCTCAATGTATCTAACTGTATCTTACTGTATCTCATTGTATCTCACTGTATCTCACTTTATCTTACTAGCAGTGTCTCGTATCTTTCCTTATCTAACTGTATCTCTCAGTATCTCACTGAATTTCACTGATTTCAGTGTATCTCACTTTATCTCACTGCATCTCACTGTATCTCACTGCATCTCACTGTATCTCAATGTATCTCACTAGATATCTCATATCTTTCTGTATCTCAATTCTCACTGCACTGTTGGAACACATAAATCATAATTGTTATTCGTTCCCCTTATAATCCTTACCCCCTTTCCCCTTCTTCCTTCCCCTTCAAATCATGCTCATGATTCCGGGCCAAATCCCACTGGGGTAATACCGAGATTGGCGAACCTACTGCCAGAGAAGGAGGGGGGGGAGGGGGTTGAAGAGAAAAGTAAATAACAGGAAAAAGAAAAACAATGTTCAAAAAAATAACTCACTACACGAACTTAGACGTTTTCTCTAAAAAAATCACAATCAAAAAAGTTGTTGAAAAAGTTCATCCAATCAAATCAAATCAAATCATTTATTAGGCCACAAGTTAACAATATTCATATTAATAAAAATGACTATACAATTACATATATATATTTTGTGGCCGGGGATGAACTAAACATGACGGTTTTTATTAAAAAGTGTTTAGTTGAATTTGGACTTTATATCTGGTGTTCTTTTTTCATTTTAAATACTTTTTCCAAATATTTTTTTTTTATTGGTTTCGTTGACATATCAGTTATTTGCCATTTCAAGTCGGAGAGATAGTTACTTTGTAAACCATACCTTTCGAGATCAGAAAATTCATTATACTTTTCTATGTGATATTTATATTGTATAAATTTTAATCTTCGTGCAATAAATATTTAATTTGATTATTTATTATCTGATTGATAAAGATAATACCACTTAATTGATATTTATTAAAGATTCTCTCCAAATATACTGCAGCCTTTAAAATTCCCCTGAATACCTGTAGTAAACGCCTACTCCATAACAATTTCTCGAAATGTATCTATCCAGGTACAACTCAGATTCTCTTGACTATCAATGTCAACAAAAGGCTACAATCCCATGAACTATCAATGCCACTACCACTGGGCGCAATCTTGTTATCTATCGGCGTCAATATGTATACTAGCTATTAATCAAGCTCTAAATGCCACACAGGGACAAATACCGAGATATGATCTCAGCCCATATATAGTTATAATATTTATTTTCAAACACAAAATACAAAATAATAATGTAAGATGGTTCAGCTTAAAATAAAACACAAAAGAAAATTTATTATGAGCCAATTGAAAATCGCCCTCTTCAATGCTGATCAAGAATAATTTGCCAAGAACCATTAATACTGTATAGTAAATTATATGTATATAACATAACCCTGCAATCGTAAAAGTAAATTAATCTTAATCTTGTTCTGAATTTGATCAAGTTAGAATATTTTCATCTATTTGCCATATTTATTATTTATTAAAAATTGTTAGGTTCTTTATTTCTATGATATTTTTTTTGTTATACATAAAAATAAATAGCATTATGCATTGTATATATAATGCATATGGCATAAATCAAATAACAGGTTTAGATTCTATTTTATATTTACTTTATATAGTTTACATAATATGAAGTATCATATCTCTAAAACGTCCTATATATAGTAAACAAATTACTGAGTAAATGTGACCCTAACCTATGCATTAAAAATCTTTTGAACAAAGAATACTATTTCGTATATTTAAAAACTCAAGTAGTTTCAAAATGGTAGTGTAAAAATGAATGTGCTTGAGCAAAAAGCACGGGTTGGGCTAAATTTTCAAAATTAATGGTAGTCTTTTTGTCTTTTCCGCAATATTCCCTGTAAGCTTGTATCCACGTAGGAACTCTGAAATGTTAATTTGATCTGCTCTTGATGTAATGAAAATGTAAATGAATAGATGACAGTCATATTCAATCTAAAATATTTGAATTCCTGAAGTTGGATAGTATTTACATGGTATTTACAGTTGAAGAGAGAGAGCGAGTGGGGAGGGATTAACTTTTTTTTCCCGTGGGGGATATGCATTCAGCATCCGTAGGGGCCAGATAACACATTGGAAAGCGTTCGATATTTCCGGGGGGGGGGGGGGCGCTGTAGGTATAAAATGCCCCAGTTTTATAAAATAAAAGTATATAGTGTCAAGTTCTAAGGTAGTGAGATTCATGAAAAAAATAAAAAGTGAGATTTGAAAATCCAAAATGAGAATATAAAATTTAAACTTTTATTTTCAAACTGTGGTATTGGTGGTAGTGAGATTTCAAAATCCAAAATGAGAATATAAAATTTAAACTTTTATTTTCAAACTGTGGTGCATAAAATTTTCGCTCAAAAACACGGGGGGGGGGGGAACCCTCCAGACCAGGCCCGTAGCTAGGCAATTTAAAAGGAGGTGGAGGCACAGCATTTTTTACCTTAATGTTAAGATTTATATATCAAGAAATAATAAACTCTATAAACTATTTTTTACATTTTACAAAGAAAATTTTACATCATAGTATAAGAATAAGAAGAGATAAGAAAAATCATACTATATTAACTCTGTCAATACCTTACTTAACCTAAGCGTTACAGAC